GGTTCAAACCCACCAGCCACTCCTCGGAAGGAAGATGGGGCAATCTACTTCCGCAGTGATACCGCCTCGGAACAACAACAATAACCAAAAAGTCGGCAGTTCAAACCCACCAGCCACTCCACTGGAGAAAGATGGGGCAGTTCTACTCTGTCCTGTTGGGTGGCTATGAGTCAGAATCAACTCAATGGCAGTGAGTTGGGGTCTTGGGTTCTGGAGGTAAGGCTTGAATGACACTTCTGGATAGCTGGAGGGGATAAGTGTTGGAAGACTTCAGAGGCCTCTGGGATCCCACTAATCATACTAAGTAGCAACCCATATACTCCATCTTTCAGGGCTGCCAGTTCACCCCCCTTTAGAGCTATATGACCTGCATGATATGAGAAGTACCACTCAGCCCTGACTGGATGGCTGAAATAGGGCTACGAAGTAAAACCCTTGCATAGGGATATTTCACAAAGAAACGGTGAGAAATATATAATTTAGGGTGGTTTTGAATTACATTATATAATATCAGCTCAAATCTTCTCTCAACCTTAAGAAACACAGAGTTTCCTACTCATCAGCACCCCCTCCCTTACCCCAGCACTAAGGAGAAATGAAACTCCTGGTTAATACTTCTACAATCCTTCCTTTACTGGGGAAATCACTTTTCCCATTTCACCAAAATGGTCCACTAGCTCTCAGCCCTGTTTCTCTTCTCATAAGGCCCTGGCCCCTAGGCACAGGGTAGAATCAGAAGTTGCAAGAGAAGTCCTCTCACACCCAGTCAGCTCCCTGACTTGCACTATTACAAGGCCTGAAATTCTCCCAATGAGGTTCCTTTGAGTTAAGACATTGGTGACTTTTATTAAATTGTGAATGTGTTCCTTGGGAAAGAGAATGCATGAATCCATCATTACTCATGAAAACTTTCTCATGAAAGAACACATGAGATTTACTCTGGCACTAATGGCAGAGTATATGCTTTATTTAAAGCTCCAAAATTCAAAAATTCTGATAATCCAGTATTTTCATAAGCTTGACCTCAAAACTCATTAGATGGCAAATCTGACATAAACTGATATAGGGTGTCTTAAAGCCTTTACCCCTGCCACTCCTCGGAAGGAAGGTTGGGCAATCCTACTTCTGTAGTGATACTGCCTCGGAAACCCAAGGAGGGGGTCGCTATGAGTCGGGGCCGACTCGACGGCACATAACAACAACAACAACAAAGCCTTTACCTTAGTGTGACTTTTTATGTAAGTTGCTATTACAAAATTAGTGTACATCTACTCCTCAGTCATTAACTATCTTGTTATCCAACATATCACATTTATAACAATTAAAAAAATCTATTATCCAATTGTTCAGCACATTAACAACATATGTCTGTCAGTAATAAGCAGCAAGGTAGAAGGTGAGAGTAACATTGGCTGTGATGGTTAAGGTTAACTTGGCTTGGCTATGATTCTCAGTGGTTTGGCAGTTATGTCATGATGTAATTTTGCACTCAGGAAATAATTTGGCAGTTATATAGCGATATAAGCATCCTCTGTTTTGTAATATGATGTGGTCATCTTCCATTTTTATATAATGCCGATTTTCGCAGAACGACCTGGTCTTTGTAACTAGCCATGTCAACAAGTGAGGAGTAGGTGCATTTGATCATAAGGTGATCAATACTCACTTGGTATGTTATCTAAATATATGGTCTTTCTAAAATCTGAAACATTCAGGGTTCTGAGACACATCTAGCCCCATGGGATCCCCACAAAGGATAAAGGACCTGGACTTGGTCAAGTTGCTTTTCCAAGGAAGGCATCCTGGAATTGTCTAGAAAGAGCACTACACCAAGACCCAGAAAGCTTTACAGTTTGCAGAATAATGTCCTCTTGGCCATTCTCACTTTGACCCCTACTACATCCCTGTGAGATGATCAGAGTAGACAGCAATGGCCTCATTTTGCAAACAAGTATACTAGAGGTTCTGAGTGAAATTACTTCTCCATGGTCATTTGCTTGCAAGTAGTACAGCCCAGGCACAAATCTAGTCTTCTAAACAAAATATTGACATGTGGCTGGCCAGTCCTGAGGCCTGGCAGAGATGCAGAAAGTGACACTCTGCATCCTGGAATCCTGGGAGATGCCTGGCCTTTGCCCTGCTCTGCCTGTGTTCTAATGTGCCCAACCCTCAGGGCAGGCCCTTCCTGCCAATTCCTGTCTATAGCACAACCCTTCCCACACTCACCTTAAAACCAGTTGGGCAGAGCTTACATGCTATTTCTGCATCATGTAGTGCATTCTCATGAGACTCCAAGGTGAAATAAATTTGAGACCGGTTGCTATAAAGCAAGTGGTCATTCGGAGCTGCCAAAAGGAGAAAATCCCTCATTAACAGCCCCCAGCACAAGGATTAGCCATTAATTAGTCTTATATGAGGATGGATCTTGAGCAAACGGCAAATTATCTAGGACCTTTCTACTGGGGATTCCAAAGGGTTAGGTTTAATTTCTAGTTCTAATACTACCTTGCCTATCACACACTCCAATTTGGGTCTGAGCTTCCCAGACTGCAGACAAGTAATTTTTGTGCCCCGCCCTCCTCTCAAGTAGTTGCTTAGAGGGTCTGGGATGTCAGTGGTGCATTAAAGACTTTGACACAGAGGAAACCCTGGTACTCTGCTTCGTGGTTTCACGTGGCTTGCCCCTGGCAGCCTGGCTTCTGAGTGAGGTGTCACCAACAGACAAACAGGCCAGGGAGTGGGGAGAGGAAGATGGCCAGGTATGACCCCATCTTGGCCACCGGGAAGACAAGTCTAAGTTTTTCTGAGCGTGATGACTGGTAACTTTAGTGGCATCTCTGCCTACAAAGCTCAGCACATATAAAGTTGCCCTGAAGAAAGTGGAAATGCATTTCCAAGACCTCTTCCTCTCACCACCAATGACCAAACGGGAATGAATGTGGACCAGAATTCTGGGAAAAGGGCTAGAACAAAGCAAGCTCCCACCAACACTTTGAATCACAGGATGTCAGGACTGCACAGGCCTTCAGAGATTATCTGGCTCAATCCACCCATTTTTCAGATGGGAAAAATCAAACCCAGAGAGGGGAAGACATTTGCTCAAGGTCACACAGCTAGTTGGTAAGTCATTGCTATCTGGCCAGATTTTGAAGTTTTGGAGCTAGGGTGGGGAACAGATTCCTTTTTCTGAAGGAAGGTACAGTACTTAGATTAGCAAAGAGGATGGACCTGGACAAAGATACTCTTCTGTGGAGACCCCTTTCTTAAAAGGGTGAAACTTGTCTTGACATTTCCACCCTAAGTGTTCTGAAGGGATTAACAAAGGTACAAGGAAGAATCCCCAGGGAAAAGTGGTGGTGGCCGCAACAGCAGGGGAGGGAGGAAAGGCCTTTCCTGGCCCTTGGCTTTCCTGGCCCCATTCTGTGAAAGGAATGGAACTTCCCTTGGGGATCTAGGGCTTAAGCGGTTTCCACATATCTCAATCATACTACCCAGCTCCTCCTGAAGGGCTGGATTCCAGCTTCTGCTGCTGCAACAGAGTTTTGGGGGTTTGTTGTTGCTGGGGGACGGTGCCAGGAGTTTGTTTGGAGGCCAACTGCTTCTTCTTAAGACGTTAACAAAAAAGCCCTGGTGGTGCAAAACAGCTGGGCTGCTAACCGATAGGTTGGTAGTTCCACCCAACCAGCGGCTCTGCGGAGGAAAGACCTGGCAATCAGCTCCCACAAAAGTTACAACCTAAGGAAACTCTATGGGGCAGTTCTATGGGGCAGTTCTACTGTGCCACGGGGGTCACTATGCGTCTGAATCCACTGGATAGCAGCCAACAAGATGTTAGCAAACAGTCCACAATACTCCGTCTCCCTTCTCTCCCATGGCACAACCCCAGGCTGCTCACAGTGCCCTGCCTGGCTGCAGAAAGGGGTGGGGGGGCTACCTCCACTCCTCCAGCAGGCAGTCTTGCTCAGTCAGTCCTCGTTTCCTCTCCCATAACCTGTTGCAAGCCTGGCGGAAATTCAGCACGTGGAGACTCCAGCCCGCCCCCTTTCCCAGCCGGCCCTGGGCCCCCTCGGATCCCAGAGCCCGGTCCGTCAGTCCCGATGCCTTCTCCCTGGCGACACGCTTCGCCAGACACCGCGCCCGACCGCCAGAGCTCCTGGCGGGAGGCCGAGCCAGGCGATCCCAGCCAGCCGCACGGCGGCCACTTCCTGGCCCCGGAGCGGGGAGGCGGGCCACGCCCAGACCGCGGCTCCGGCGCCGGAGTAGGAGCCCAGCAGAGGCGTGGGGCCGCCCGCGCTGTCCTAAAAGCCGCCGAGCCACCCGCTCCTCTCCAGGGCGCCACCGTCAGGTGCAACTAAAGCATGCCCTGGTCCGGAGCCACCTCACGGTCCCCCGGGATCCCCGAGCGACTGCCCGATCCCATGGCCCGCTGGACTCGCGGGGCAGGGGTGCGAGACGAGGACGCGGGCTGTGGGTAACGGGGGAGGGGGATCTATTTCAGCCGAAGATCGTGTGATAGGAAGCAGTGACAGTGAGTCACAGGGCAGCGGGGCGCGAGCGCTCTGCCCCCCCATCCCCTCGCGGGATGGTTTCCGAAGCATGGCCCACTTCGGTTACCTCAGCTGTTACACAATCCCGCCCGCCCGCCGGCGCGAAGGAGGGGCCGCCCGGCCCGCTCGCGTCCCTTATGCAACCAGTGCTCTCCTGACCTAATTCCACACCGGACCCACCCCACGGCAGCCACGGCCCGGAAAGCAGCAAGGGTAGGCAGGGTGCGAAGTTCGTCTCCAGGCGGGGATGGAGCAGGCAGGTGGCAGAAGGGCCTGGGCGCACAGACGGACTGGGAGAAGGTGCAACTGAGAGAAACTGAGACGGCGACCCCTAGCAAGACCGGAACAGAGCGAAACAGCGGCGAAGAGATGGAGAACAGGGTGCCCCGAGTGACAAAAACAGACTGTGAGGCACAGAAGCTGAGAGAAAACAAATCACCACACCAAAACAGCAACAGAAATAGACCAGGCACAGAGAGAGAGAGAGAGAGAAAGTGATCCAGGCAAAGTCAGGGGGCAAACTCCAGAGAGCCCTCGCCTGCCGCCGCCACGGTCCCACGTGCGCCCCTTAGCCATAGTGCATCCCCCATCTCTCTCCTCCATTCCCTCCCCAGCCCGGGCTCCTCACGATCCAGCCCCGCGCGCAGGGGTCCTGGTCCGGCCGGCTGCGCATTGGCCTCACCCAGACGAACAGCTTCATTATACTTGAGCAGCGCCGCCTCCAATTGGCGCTCACGGTACAGCTTGTTGCCTTCGTGCCGGAGTTTCGACGCCCGCGCCGGACCCGGGAACAACTTGCCCAGGAGGCCGCTGAGCACCACGTTGACCCGCAGCGGCGGCGGCGGCGGCGGAGGTGGTGGAGGAGGCGACTGTGACTGGAGCCCAGCCCGCCGGGTGCCTCGTGCCCACCCGGTGGCCGCGAACCACGCGGAGAGCTGGACCCCGCACAGTACACAGCACCGGTCGGCCGCGCGCCCGCGTTCCAGGCACAGTTTGCAAAAGGTGTGGCCGCACGACAAGGACACGGGATCTGACAGAAACCCATGGCACTTTCGGCACTTGAAGCCGTCCCACACCTCAGTTGCCTCGGTCGTCCCTGCCTCTGCAGCCGCCATCCTGAAGCCCGACGCACCGTCGCCGTCTGAAAACGTCTGCGCCAGCCCCTTGCCCTGTAGGACGTTCTCCACCAGGTAGCGCACCAGCTGCTCGAGCTGCTCAGCCGCCAACTGCTGCCGCTCCAAGAGCTGACGATATACCTCGAGGGCTTCCCGGAGGCGCCCCCCAGACGCCAACGCGTCCGCACGGGAGAGAAGGACTTTGCACTCCGGCGTCGAAGCCCACGGAGACTGCGCCTGCTCGAGCTCTGCCTCCCTTGTCGTTTGCGTCGTGGCGCCCCCAGCAGCCGCTTCCGGGTGGGGACTCGCGTTTACGCGGGCTGCTGATGCTGCTGCGTCTGTCAGCTCTAAGTTGTTGCTGCCAAGCTCGGCGGGCAAGCTCAGCATCTGTCCAGTCTCCAGTGAATCCATGAGGAGAGGGGCAGGCACGGGGCAAGGCGTCTAGGGGCCGGGGACTTGGAGCAGAGGGCGGCGACTGAAAGGAATCGGGGCAATTCCAGTGGCTGCTGCGGCCGCTCCAGGCACCTTGCCGCCGCGTGCTGGGCTTTGCCGCGCCTCCAAGAGCTCCATGCCTGCCGCCCCGCGCCGCCTAATAACTGTCTTGTCTCAGCAAAGTGTTATATAAAACGGCACCATGTGACGCGCCGCCACGCAGCTCATTGGCCCGCAGAGGGGAAATTGTTACAAAACCAGACAGTTTTGTAACAGTGTTGCGCTTGCTTCTTTTGGCTTCGCTTTTCTTGGCTTCTTTGTGAGGTTGTTTATGTTGATGCTGGGCCTTATTTCCCCCTCCCAAAGTGGTTCCTTTTCAAAAGAGAGGGTAAAAATAGCCCAACATTTTCTCTTAGGCTTTTCGGGCGCCAACCCACTCCACCTCCAAAGCGGCCAGCAAACAGGTCCCCTCTGGCAGCTGCTCACGGGCGCCCCTGGCCCCTCCCGGGAGAGGCCTAGACCCAAGGCGCGCTCTCCGAGCGCTCTCTTGGGACGCTGCGGGCTCGCTCAAGGGGGCGAAAGCTGCTGTCTGTGAAGGGAAGGAAGGAGGTGGGAAGAGGTCCCCGAAAAGGCCCCCGTCTCGGCTGCCCAGACTCGGGGTCCCTGGCCACCTTCCCCCGGGAGCTCTGAGGGTGGTAAGCGCGGGTTTTCGAGGGCTCAAGAGCCTCTGGAGCTGGGAGACGCTCCAAGTGGCGGCAGGGTAGCCATAGAAGTTGGGCGGAGTCTGCTGGCGGGTGAGGAACTTGCTGAGAAGATGCGGTAGTGGCTCCGCGAGGGAGCGGCCCCCCACGTGGCCCCCTCCTCACTCTCTCCCCCATGGGGTAGCAAAGCCTGCTCAAGGCCGGAACCGGCACTCAGACTGGCTACTGGCGCTCCGCAAAGACCACGTCCGGACCAGTGACCACGGGTCAGGTGGGCGCGGCCACAAGACCTGGAACTTTTGAGGTCCAAGGGTACTTAGGGGACGTGGGAGAATAGCGCGCTGAAGAGCACGGAGATCGCTACTACAGAGAATGCGCGTGCGTCCTAGCGCAGCCTAGCTGCTGAGCTCTTCCTGAGCTCAAAGTTCTGGTTTTGGCGCGTTACAGTGGGAAACTCTGCGGGACGGATGTGGCTGGGCATGAACTGCGGTACCTGACTCATAATGGCTAGGCCCAGGGTGACCACCAACCACACAGCTGTTATGACCCCACACCCACACTTCGGACGGGAGCCACGCGCACAAATGCGCAGACCGAGGCTTGGAAATATAAAGTAATAACTCACTTGCCCATGGTGAAGTTGACAGCAATAGTGAAAGGACAGGGACGGCTGGCTGGCTGTCTTCTTTCTCAGGGTCAGGCCTGAGCTAGATTTTTAAGATAGTGAAGTCAGGACTGACCGAGAGGCAGAGGAGGCCATCTTCCCTCTGACTTGCTGTTATCTGACTGAGGGGAGCTCCGTTTCCCCTCAGTTGCCCTTGTTGTCAGATGAGGTCCCCAGCATTAATTATCTGCCTGCCCTTATCAGGAGGGACAGGCTATGGGGCAGGTAAACAGGTTCGTATCAAAGGGCTCCAAGATGAACAATGATGAAAACCTATTAGTTCAAGAGCCTTATCCCTTTGACAAGTCTCAAAAAAATAGGTATCTGTTACTTCAAATTGTCTCTCCAGATGCAGCTCTGGGGTGTGCGTTGCTCCCTTGACCACCTTAACAAGTGAGCGCCCCTGGGCTGATTTCTCTCCCTTACCATGTCGGGGCTGGGGAGGCATGGGGAAGGGCAGGTCAGACAGGCTGTCGTAGTCTTGCAGGCATGGGGCTGGGGATGCTCTCCCCAGGCAGCCCCTCTGAGCAGCTTACCTGTGCCCAAGGTTGACCATGAACTTGGTCAGGAATATTAATAGCGTAAGGTAGCGTGCCAAACACAAGACCACCAATGTCATCAAGTCTGTTCTGACTCAGACCGACCCCCATTGGGTTTCCAAGGCTGTAAATCTTTGCTGAAGTAGGTTGCCCCATTCCTTCCACAGAGCGGTTTGAATCGCTGACCTCATTAGCAGCCAAGTGGCTTATCCACTACACCATGAGAGCTCCTTAAGGTAAAAAAAAAAAAAAAAGAAGAAGAAGAAGAAGAACCAAACTCACTGCTGTGAGGTCGGGTCCAACTCATAGCGACCCGACCGGTCGGGTCCAACTCACTGGGTTTCTGAGGCTGTAAATCTTTACCGAAGTAGATCCCCCCTTCTTCCTTCCACAGAGATGCTGGTGGGTTTGAACCGCTGACTTTCTGGTGGATGCCTTATGCACTATGCCACCAGAGCTCCTTAAGGTAGGGTGCAGTAGTGCAAAAAGCAGCACCACCTACTCACTGACCAGACCAGCTCCTTGGGGAGCTTTATGGAGTATTTTCAAATCTGGACTGCCTATAGATAACACCAACTGGATTTCTATTGAATGCTGGAAAACATGAACACACTGGTTTTGTTTGTTTTCCTTCTTTATTTAAATTAAATAAACATTGCGTTAATATACATTTATGGATCAACTCGAAGTCTCAAAACTTTTCTCCACTCTGTTCCTGATAATTGGCGCTTGCTAGGAGGAGGGGATAAAGCCGTGTGCGCAACGCTTAAGAGCTGAGCTGCTAACGAAAGGTCAGGTGTTGCAACCCACTAGTTGCTCCATGGGAGAAAGACTAGGGAGTAGGAAACCCTCTGGGGCAGTTCATCTTTTACAACTTAGTCTGGTAGCATAGTGCCTAAGGCACTGGCCTGCTAACCAGAGGGCTGGTGGTTCAAACCCACCAGCAACTCCTCGGAAGGAAGATGGGGCAACCTACTTCCATAGTGATACTGCCTCGGAAACCCAAGGAGGGGTCGCTATGAGTCAGGTCCGACTCAAGGGCACATAAGAACAACAAACCCTATGAGGCAGTTCTAATTTGTCAAAAAGGGCCGCTGTCAGTTGAAATCTACTTGCCACCTCACAACAACAGAACGAGGAGGGGGGAGATATTTCCATATGCAGATATTTCCTTTAGAGGGCCTTGTCCTTCAAATCTCCATTTGTTTTGTTAGGACACCAGATGGCTGTGGTTAACCCGGAAGAGAGAGCAAGAGTTGAGCTGTCCCTATTTTCTAACTGACCACAGCAATTTTGAATTGAGCTCGGAAGAACGTCTCTGGGACCCAGAGGAGCAGGCAGAGCTCGACCCCAATTCTCCTCAAGCAGGGTAGCACTGCTTTGATCTTTTATATATATATATGTGTGTGTGTGTGTATATATATATATATATAGTGGTTCCAGGAAAGATTTCGATGAAGAAAGGCTTTTCCGCTTTTAAAATGAAAAAGATCAGAAACAATAGCAATTTTTGCATATTTGTTGAGCATCTTCTAAGTACCAGGCACTGTTGTAGGTACTAGACGCATAGCAAAGCAACACTTGGCTCCTAGGTCCACCCTTACATCTTTTCCGCACACATTCTTGTCCTGGCTTCCCAGGCAGACTAGAAGCTCCATGAGGGCAAGCTGGTATATTGTGTCTGTCTCCTCCTCAAAGGACAGTGCCTGAACAGATCTTACTGAATATGCCAGTGGACATCCTGGCCATGGTTGGGAGTGTGCAGAGTGACAAGAAGAAAACTAGCTGGGCTGTCATACCTTTAATTAATGGTTACACAGTCCTGTACTTGGAAAGGGCTGCTGAGCAACTCTGAGGTAGAGAAGTCCAGTCAAAGCCAGAGACCTAGGGTGAGGAGTGGGCAGCCTTGTGTATACACACATGCGTGCACACATGTTATGCATGGAAACTTGGCCAAAACATTTACTTACTTCCTACCTCAGTCATGGACTTGGGCTGGCCTACAACAACAACAACATAAGAAAAAAAAGGGCATTAATGACTTTGACATGGAAAAGGTTGCCCCTTGCTATCTAAAAAAAAAAAAAAACCCAAACCCACTGCCAGAGAGTCAGATCCCACCCATAGCAACCAGTTCTTGGGTTTCCAAGGCAGTATCACTACGGAAGTAGATTGCCCAGCCTTCCTTCCGAGGAGTGGCTGGTGGGTTTGAACCGCCAGCCTTCTGGTTAGCAGTCAAATGCCTTAGGCACTATGCCACCAGAGCTCCCCCTTGCTATCTAGATTAAGCAAAAATCAGAGCTAAAAGAAAAGTTTACAGATCAGTGCTGGTTTTACAAATGAGGAAATTTAGGACTAGAGAAGGCAAGTGACTTGCCACAAATCACAACTGGAGTTTGTGACACAGCCAGGATTGGAAGCCAGGGTTCCTGTATCTGTTTACAGTTCTTTCCATGTGATCATAAAACATCCAAAGGGCATAGAACATCTCCTACAAAAAGCAAGTAAGAAACTATTTCAGATTTCTTACTCTCAAGTTTTCCATCAAGTCAACAATAATAATTTTACCAATAAGATTATTCTAATAATATTATCAATCAATAATTGATTGATAATAATGGAACTGGCATTTCTGGGCCAATAATACAAGTATTAAGGAGCTCTGATGGTGTAGTGGTTAAGGCATTTGACTGCTAACCAAAAGGTCGGTGGTTTGAACCCACCAGCTGTTCCACAGAAGAAAGACAGGGCAGTCTGTTTCCATAAAGCTTTACAGCCTTGGAAACCCAATGGGGGTCTCTGTGAGTTGAAATCAACACGATGGTAGTGAGTTTGGAGTTTTTTAAATAGAAGTATATGACACAATCCTTATCCTCCAGTAGCTAACTGAGGAGACAACAGGCAAAGATTTGAAACAGTTAAGTAAAAAATAACAGGCGATATGTGAGCAGTGCCAACATTGGGGAAACAGTGTGTCCAGGGCAGTGCTTCTCACCTCACAGAGAAGCTGCGTGTTAAGGTTGGAGAGGACTGAACTGGATAGAGAAGTGAAAGACCACCAGGTTGCTCAGCTCA